GACAGTTCGGGGGGGGGGGGGGGGAGGGGGTAATACGAAGTTGCCTTTCGTACCAACTTGCCTATTGCAACTCACAGTGTTTCTGGTCTACGTCTGAAGTGGAAGATATCTTCAAACCCGAGGTTTTAATCACTCATGTCTAAGACGCATCCCGCAGGTTCATGGAAGCGGGGGGTCAGAGAGAGGCATTTTGACATATCGTGGTTCATTCAACTGAGAGTCTGAATATGATAACTCCAATGGTTCGGCTACGTACTGTCAGAGACTATGTGAACCTTCATTGGCCTATTTACAATACTGAACGTGGCGCTGTCGTATGAGTAGCATTTGGAACTAATCAGCTTCCGACTAGCAGGTGCAAAGTGTCACCAGAATCGGTTTCAGTCTGTATAGACCTGGCCTCTGAGTGCCATTGGTATGCAACAGCAGTACAGTTCATTGTCATCCCATCACAAAAGTCAATTGCCAGGAGGTGAACGGGTAGTAGTGATATGTTTGGACAATTTGAAACACTGACCAAAAAAGGCCCAACAAATTTGCACATCATCACTGAGAAACCCAAAATATTTCAGCTGGAGATAATAATTCGTCGTCAAAGTGAATAAGAACAACGTGTTTATGATCACACCAAAGGCAGCCACGAGGTAGTGAAATTCAGTCACTTGCATATTAATTGGAGACTTAACTGAATCCCAGTTGAATCCCTCCTTTAAACTATTCTTCAACTGAATGTGCTGTTGGAAAGGCCGCCTCATGTTTCGGTCGGGTGACATTTGAGATAGAAAAACAAGACCCCTTCGACAGTCCACCACCGGTTTCACCATTCTTAGGGATAAGGGATCGTGGGTTGCCGGTGTGAGTAGTATTCTGTGAATGAAATATACATTACCATATTTCGAACAGCGTGCAAGAGGAACAATAGGGCCGTCTTTGTGCGGCGCATTCAGTTGAGATTCGGTCGAGTTCCCGGTTTAAACCAACTAAGCATTCAAGCGAGTGTATTTTACGAACTGCGTTTGGGTGGAACTTAATGTTGAGAGAAACTCCAGGACCTCGTCCGTCCTATGATCCTCAAGAAAGGCGAAACCGTTCGTGGTCTGTCGAGTTTTCAGCGGCCTCATCAATAGTGAGCTCCGTCTAGATCGGTGAGTTAATGCAGCATTGTCATGAGAATCTACGTAGCAGCATGAAAAGGTCCGGATGTCTAGAAGCCGAGCATCTATCAGCAATTTGCTATTACCGTGAATGCGCCAATCGCTTAAGGCGATATGAAGTGTAGGTTATGTTGGGTTGGACAGGGTTAAATTCAGTTGCAAAGCCACACCTAGGGATAATGCGACGGGCTACTGACAAGAAGACCTGTGGTTGCCCCTGTCTTAGTAGCGTGTATGGAGGAACGTGGGATACGGCTGAAATAAAGAAGTGCATATCTCAAGCAAACGAGGATGCGGGCAACTCACCCTTTAAACCGACTTTGGAAGGTAGGATCGAGTAAGGGTCGATAGTCAACATCACCTGAAGCGTTTTGGATTGGATGAAAAGCAAAAGGCGCCCCGATATCTGGCACCGTGGGTGGGGTATTGACGGAAGCGACCGTAGAGACTGGCTTCTCAGGTCCAGTGTCTGTTACTACGGGTTCCGTCTTTGTCATCACTTTGTCTGGCGAAGTCCGTGGTTCTGTCTCTTTCAGTGGCTGAATTGGCGAAGGGTGGTAGACAACATTGTTTACATATGGATTGTTGGCGCTCACCGTCGGACCGGACTCAAAATCACTGTCATCATCGTTGGCAAAGTCGTCACCAAAGTTATCAAACTTTTCATCGTCACTCTCCAACTTAGACTGGGGAGTCGTAGTCGGTTTTGGAGAAGAATTCACCTCGTATTGTGCGGCTTTTCCATCAACGATCGATGCTTTGGGAGAGGTTATCCCAACGCAACCCTCGGCCTTCTCCAGCGTTTTTGAAACACGCTTCCCATAGGCGCTATAAGCCTTTAAAAAGACAAAAAAGATGAGTTCACGAGAGAGATGAGCAAAAAGGGGTTTTGGATTTATGCACGAAAAAATCATCTGAAAATACAATGACAAAGGTTTACAGTTTCCCAGGGCCAGTACATTCACTCGTTTAACACACTTTTCGGTGCCTAACTGCCATGTCCCTCGAGGGAGGCACGAGGACTGAGGTACTGTCAGGTTTCCCAAGCCTATACAGTCGAGATGTTGAGGTTGGGTCAGAAACACGGACCTTACTGTCATTCGGTTCACACCTTAGCCACTAAGTCATGTCGAACTCACCCCAGAGCCAGTGATTCACTGTGCATAGAAATTTAGTCAAGGCGACCGATGAATGTCATCACTCTGGTCAGACGTACAAACCGGTGTCATGTGTGGTGTTCCGAGATTATCTACTGCAGAATCCACGCCAATTCTCACTAAATCAAAAACCGGTTAGTGCGTTTTGGACGCAAACCTAGCGTAGCGCAGTCACCAAAACATATACAACGGTATGCACCCAAACATTCATGTCAATTTCATGTGACTGTGAGCGGCTGCCTGAATAAAGCAGTGACCACATTGGTATTCAGGGGATGACGGTGGGGTGTCACTCACTACACATACCACAGGCATGTTTGCCAGTGCAATGTGGTAACTGAGGCTCATCTAGCGTGCACTGATGAAGAGCTACATCATTTCGACAGACCAGAGTTGGATTCCCGGTAAAGTTGTGGATATGCATTGCCGATGGGCTCTAAAGAGATTGGAACTCAAATCCAGTACTGCTTCTGAATCACTCGTGCCAAGACGGTGGGAGACAGTTAAACTGAGTGATTTAGAGAAATATTCCACAAAATCCATAATTTCTGACATGCAAGTGTGAATCAGCCGGTTGATCACAAAAGAATCATGCGGTCGGTTCATCTCAAAGGATAATATAATCGTCGGACTGTACAACAACATTGGTAGACTAAACCCTTGACGAATAACTTGTCACGACAGCGCCACGGATGTCGGATGCTGTCAGACACTTTCTCGGTTGAAATCAATGCTGTCTTTCTCCCGTTGGGCGGGATTCACGCGGCTTCCCAAGTAGGTGGGCATCCGCATGCACGAGGTTTGAATGTAGACATTTAGAATCACTCATAATTCCAAGAATCTGGACCAAGTAAAGCTATATCGTCAGCATACCCAATGCCTGTAAGCGAACGCCTCGGGAACATTTCGACCCAGATGTATGAGGCGAGTAAGATCCAAGTAGCACATCAATAAAGAAATAAAAAAAGGGGATGATAGAAGAGGCCCTACCTGACACTACTGGATGTGGTGAACTCAGGTGAGAGCCTGCTGGAATTGTCGGCAGAAACTGGAATAAACTGTTCTTAGAGGAGATGAGAATATGGATATCACATCTCCGGTCGATAGCGAGTGTCATAGCATCTGGTGAAAAAATGTCGGTTACTGACAACTAGGATGATGTCTAAGCACCAGCGATGAAGTGAAGATGTACCCAATGCCTAGTAAAGGATGGAATCAGCTTGGCTTTCATGAAATTGACTTCCCAGGTAATAGACCAATCTATGTAGGATAAAACAGATACACTGCGACTACCAGGCTGATACCACAGCGGATATCACAAGATATTTTAGTGTCAATCTTGAATACAGGGATGAAAACAGAGGCCCTTCATCCCATTGGCGTCTAGTCTTTGTGCCATATAAGTAAATTTGTTAAGGTGCCATTGGGGCTTCAACCCTTTTTCTTGGGAAATGCGGTGTAAGCCGTTCGGATACACTTCCTGGAGTAAAACATCATGTCGTGTTTCTGCTGCTCTTCGATGAAAAGTAAAAATCTACGTCTCACTTCGGTTTATTGTGTGCTTCCTAGATTTGTGCTGAAGGCCAAGTAAACAGTCCTACGGAATATTCAATCCATCAATCAAGAGGACACTTTCGTGAATGAACTGCTGGTCCATCTTTATGGCTTAAAAATACCCATCTAAAAAGTAAGGAAAACACATATCTATGTAAATATATCGAGAGCAGTTTGCCGAAGCGAGGTATCCAACTGAGTAATACTCCTGCCTATTGCTTGATCTAGAACATCAACTCCATTCCCTAACCGCCCGAAGTTACACACATATTTCCAAGATTCCTGCTATAGTGGATGCAGTCTGAAAAAATCCCCTCCCTCCTAATCTTTATGGTCAAAACAATAAATACACTTACGTTCACCACAATGGCGACTTCTTTATGTTGTGTCTCGTAGAAATGCTCAGCCATCTCCACTAGTCGGGAAATTGAGATTAACTGCTCCAAATATTCCGTACGACGCTTGATGTACGAGTCTAAATTCTTGCAGCAAAGCTCAACCTAAGCAGGAAGAAGAACGGGAATAACATAAAGGTGCATTGTAAACGGGCATGATGTTGAGAGAGAGAGAGAGAGAGAGACAGTCAGCGATGAGAGAAACGCCTTCTCAAAGCCTGGCCGAATATCAATGTCTGTTGAACAGCCCAAAAGTAATGCGACCGTGAGGTTGACAGTAACAAATCAGAATTATCAGTCACAGATCCAGCTAGACAGCTGTCCGAGAGCAAACGAAGTCAAACAGTGACAAACTCTACAACCGGACCGGTCGATTTTATATAGCCTACACAATAACTCAAAGTATCATCATCATCGTGAGACAACAACGTCAATGCTGACTGACACTGATGCTTCACGGCTGCACAACTATACTTAAAGCCTTAAAGTGAAAAAAGATGGGTGAGGAGGGGACCTGATGCTAGTCTATCGCAGGAATCCTGCGGTGCCTACACTTCCAAGCGCTCAATCAGACAGCCTGGACTGAAATTGATGACACGAACGCAACCAACATCGATTAGCCGCCATTTCTTGTCATGTTTCCGATGAGGTCAGGGAAGGTAACGGGGACCCGGTCACATTACTTCAGGGCAGATATTCAGTGCATAATGAATGATTTCACTGAGTTTGTAGGGAATTGCACAAATCCCTTTCAGATAGCTTGCCGTTCGATTGATATCCTTCACTTGTCTTAAGCTTGGCTGGTTTTCGGCAGGTTCTGACCATTCCTCATGAAGTTCTCAAAGATTTCGGGCTATCTTATTCAGCTTCCGCTGCCGCATCTATCTCAGCCCACAATCCTCGAACTCAAGCATGTTAGCGAGAAAAACACCTATGCTTCGGCTCTCCAAAGAATTACCCAAGGGTATTACAAGAATGCTCGCACTGCCACAAGCGGCTAAACGAAATAATTTTGACCTCCTTCTCCTCTTTCCTCTTGAAGAGACTGATGTCTGCGACTGATCTGCATTGATTCACGTTTATTCATACATGTCCATGGACTCTCGATTCAGAATTATCGGTTTACGGCATCACTATTCAAATACAAAGCTACGATTATTGGCATTTACAACGGACCACTCCTCCGAAAACCAACCAATTTAATTTTCAGAGCACATTTTTCGAGATTATACTATTGTATTAGTCAGCCATTTTAAGCTGAAGAAAACGACACTAGTGCGTACACCTACTCCCGTATAGCACACACGGGAGTACCTTACATCTAAAAACTGCATGAGGTTGGTTGTTGGTCTGTTCGCAGAGCTTGGCTATTGGATTGCAAACGTTTCACCAGCAATTGAGGGGTCAGTGCGGGATAGATTCCTCCTCTGTCTGTGCTTGTATGGTTCCTAAACAGTATCTCATAGCTCCTTTTAGAAATTGTTCAGAAACTATACAGGCACATGAAGATCAGGAATTTATTCACTCAACCTCACACTGACGATCTCACTTCAATTGAAAAAGAAACGTTTGCAATCCAACTGCCAAGCTCACCGAACAGAACCAACAACCAAGAACCCACCCGGGCTATCTGTTTTCCGCAAAATCGCCGACTGTAAGAGGTTTACTGTTCATTATGCGGATTTCCTATTTTCTTTTTCTTTCGAAGTACATTTCGTTGAGTGCTTCGGAGAGCAGTTCACGGGATTGATCATTTTCGGTCACATACAAAGTTCGCGAGTGTTTCTGGAACACACTTGTGTGACTGTGTATAGCTACACACCACATCATACTAATATTACGCTGCATAAAGCTGTACCAAACTGTCATATGGGGTTAACAATTCGAGCACAAATCTTGGTTTCGTGAGTGGAAACGGAACAGACTGCAAACACAAAATCCAGAGCTGATGTAAACTGGAGAACACATCTCAGAACGATGACAAAAAACCTGTCGTTGACGATGTGTCATAGAAAGCTACCAAGAACTTTTGCCTTACGTAACTGGCACATATATCGGAATTGCACAAGTTATCGGACCGACCCGTCACACGGAACCACGCATTTGGACCCACACGCACAATCGGTACTGCAAGATACCATCCGAGTCACCTGTGCACCCATCTGACACCCTGTGCCTGGTTTACACCAGAGGGAATGATACCGGACGGTCAACGGTAAGGGATTGTGCTGAACGATGAGGATGTGTGCTAAAGCCGCTCAGGTATCAATAATTAAATTCGTACATCTTTAGTGTTTAAAAGCCTGCTAGCGGACGAATGGAGTCATCACTTTGTAGATGTGCANGCTAGCGGACAAATGGAGTCATCACTTTGTAGATGTGCATCTAGATATCCGATCGCAGGCCCCGGATTACTTCACTCCGATTCAAGTCCGCCAAAAGTCCCGCTAGACTTGGCATCACGGGATTTCACCTCACAGTCGACGGTCAAGTCAGAAGACACCATAGTTCCTAGGTAGCCAAGGACCACGAATTCCGTTCTGGTTTTGACGCGCGGAAGCGTGTAAGAGACTTCACCTGGCGCAGATTGATGCGGAAGGAAAGTCGTTTTGTGTTGATTTTCAGGCAAAACTGCGTACTCGCAGATCACCATTTTCATAGTTTCGGTGTATCAATCCAAGCCGCAGTGAAGAAAGACGGGTTGATTCCACGAGGTTCTCAGTCGGCCGTATTGTTGGAGTAACATCTACACCACAGTCCAGTTTTCCTCATTCCGGGTTACTCATCCAGTTGAGTTCGTATGCGGAATCGGGTTCTTGAATACTTCCTTGTTCAGCTAGTCGTGTTTCGCTGGAGATGGCAACATCGATTACGTACCTTTTCAGTTCCACTGAAACTAAGGCTGTGCGCCTCGAAGGACGGTCACTCTGCTTATCAGGTTGAACCAGCATTGTTAAGACGTTTCGAGATTCTATGCTTAGCGGCCACCTAGGTAAATGTGAACGTTTTACAAGACAAGGGAATTAACACGAGCTAGTATGTGAACCCTCCTCCAAAACGCCCAGTCCGGAGAAAGAGGGTTTAGGTGCCTGCGCTTTGCATTGACCAAACAGCCCTGGGCTTTTTATTAGAAGGCGAAGTATTAGTATTTTCCATCCGTAGTTGGTTAACTCGACTTCAGCCACGATCAGTCACGCACCAGGGCGATTTCAAACCACAGGCCCATTTTCACTGGCCTCCTCCTTCTCAAATGGAAAGACGGTAGTAGTGGTACTAGACAAGTCTATCCAGGCTGAGTGTTTCTACTGAACTGCCGTCGATCTATGTGAACCAGTAGAACGATCATCGCCTCAGTACCTACTCGAAGAATCCAATATACACGGTTCCCCAGCTAACTAGCAAACAGGGACGGTGGTCAGGGCCATCTACCATAGATCCCTGAAACGAAGTAGACTGGAAGCCTGTTGACATGCCGTCGGCTTTTTTGACGGCACCAAACGTAAAGCATAAACCGGTGTTTTAGAATACCTTTTCCTGTCCCCGTAGGAGAAAAGGTAGGTCGTGTCACCAGCCCATACTAGAAATAGCCAGATAGCAAGTTTGTGTTGTGCTCTACAGAGGGCGGGTGTATGCTTATATGCATCCTCGGACTTATCGAGGGTTATCTTCATCATGTCATCACAGAAGCTTCTGTTTCCGATTGCAAACTATGAATGGTGCTTACTAGGGCTGTTGCGCCTGTCCTCGGCTGCGGTTTCAACTATGCATCCTACTAAAACTTGTATGTTGCAAGATCGGTTGATCTGACTATGAGTTTCCCTAAAGTCAGAGACATAACATGACATGAAGAAGTAAAATTATATAGATAAATATTAATAACTGCTTCAAAACGTGCGCACAGCAACGTTTCCCACCGCATGTGAGCACAAGAACAAACAGTCTTCGATTATCCGGAAAAGTCTACATAAACTACGTCAGTTAAACAGTCGAGCTCCTTGGTGGGTCGGCGGTGGATGCAACTGGTTCTGCTATGTATAACGAACAGAGAACCTAACTTCCAGCATCATTACTGGGAATCCAGGCACAGTACGATAGACATACGTTTTGCAAAGCGAAGTTCAATTTTAAAAAAGTGCCAGAAACTTACTCGACGCGATAAAACCCGACTCTCTTCCTTGCTCTTCAGGGAAGAAACGATGTTCGAAATCGGGAGATTCACGTATAAATGCTGTAGATCCGGTTTCGATTGGTCTTGTAGTTCCTCTTCCGTTTGCTTCAACTTACGCAACGAATCGGTGAGATTTTCAGGCTATGGACACAAAAGTGAACAGTGATGAGCAACAACAGGACGCCGACAGATCCACAAGGAGACTAAGTGTGTAGTACAACATGATATGCCTGAGAATTACTGTATGAATCTCAGCCTAAAGACGCATGAAAATTATAACAATCGGCTTTAGTCGTGTGAAATTGGGTTGTCAAGGCCCCATCCCACTAGCAGTCGAAGGTACTCGCCCGTGTGACAAGTCCAAAGAACCAGCGCTGCTAGTGAATCTGTTCTCTTATTCTCAGGAACTAACCCACTATTCCTCGTTCTTACTAGCGATCCCTCCTCATTATACACTATATGCCGCGACGGCCTGAACAACTCCACATTTTGTACAAGATTCGTGGCTGATGAAAACTCGTGGACAGCCCACAGACGAGTTCACCTTCTTTGGGGCTAACAGAATGGATGTAACCTCCGGATTTTCAGTAAGCTTATCTCTTACAGGGACATTTGCAACTTAGGATGGCGTTAACGCGGATTTCAACCGAATGTTTCGTTTATACTATTCTTCACTTGAATGTACTGCCCACAGGCCGCCTGGTGCAACAGCGGGGTATGCTTTTATTTGCAAATACGTCTGATTAGGAGTACAAGTAAAGTCGGGGGCTAAGTTTACTTGATGGTCTCCAAAAGGGATGACATCGGTAGTGGACTGTCCAAAACTGTGCGTGTGTGTGTCATGTCAAGTGAACTACACCGATATCTTGGGTCTTCAGTCATCACCTCCTTAGTTTGCAAATGAGTAATCACATTATACGATCTTAACGTTCGTACTTTACACTGGACAAGCATAGATTTTCAGAGTTGCTTCAACCAGCAAACCAAGCTTGGCAATCTCCAGCAAATTCGGCTAGCATATCGATTGCTTTTATTCCATCCTGGTGCAATCTGAAGTCAATGTGTGTCAATCTGCTGACACTAATTCTGGCTGTATTGATATGAGTTTCGGTTCGCTCACCAGGCCAATTTAATCAATCATAGCACGGTGACGGTGAGGTCTTCGAAAGTTCCCTAAACAGCTTCCATGGAGCAGGTCTGGATCCATGAGTTCGGCAATACAGAACCGCTGTACGTTCTACCCAGAGGCAGTGAATATCTCCCGTAGGCGCCAACGATTATTATCTCATAATCGTCAACGATTTTCAGCGCGGGGCGAATGCTGCACGTGGTCCATGACCTTCACTATGATTTTATTATTATGCACACCTTGATCGCGGAAAGGCAATCTTCGTGTGAACTGGCGAGGTTTCATCTATCCGAAAGCCGCACTGCTGAAAATCATGGTTCAAGCAAAGCGCTTGGATGTGAGAACCTGCTTCGTTGACTTTCCTTTCAGTGAGAGCAAGTAGACATGCACATGAGAAAAACTTAGTTGACGACGTAGATTTCTAGTTCACATTGTAGTATTAAATGGTCGACATAAGCAAGTGACTGAATATGCTAGATCACTGATTCAGATCTATTATTTTCGCTGGATTCCGAAGTAGCTGACGAATAATTGATGTATAAGCTTCATTAGTGATGAAAGTCTCAAGCACATTACACGGCAAGGAAAATAGAGAAAACCTACGTGGAAATCTTTGACCGAGTCGTCCGATACCTCCAACGGATCGGCAGCGACACGCTTTTTCCCTGGCGGTCCGGTTTGCGCTGTGAGAAAAGGGTTAAATATGAATATGGATATCAATGCCAGACGTACCCAATCCATCCAGGAGCTGTTGTACAAAATGTGTTTCGAACAGCCGGTATCGTAGCCAATAGTTGAACAACTTCGATAGTTTCGGCACTAAATGACCCGGTCTGGGAAGGGATGGGGGAAGACCGAACGGTAGCGAACCTACCTTAAGTGTTTCACGGCCTCCGTGACAAATGGTCGAAACACGTCTTTGAATTCGGGGACGCCATACTTGGAGCATTTGATGAGGATTTCATTGGCCACGTATAAAAGTGCCAGTTGTGAGGCTGGATCTTCCGCTGAGTCGGAAAAATGATGAGTAAATGAAATTCAGATCAGGAGCCTCACAACTCATCAACCTCACCTAGTTGAAATGAACACACGTATGAAAACCAATGCGACTTTGATGCCAGACAACCATAACTGTGGCCCATCTATTCGGATGTCACTTTCAACACCTGGTTGTTGAGGATATCAGTATCCAAAAAACTCTGTATCTTTGTGTGTGCTAACGAACTTCCGGCATTTTTTAAGGTCAAACTATATATATATATATATATATATATATATATGCATT